ATAAACATTTATTCTTATATTTAAGATTAAATTATATTATGCCATTCATTTTATCTCAAAATAATCTTTTAAAGTACAGAAACATTTTGTAATCAACCATTTGCATAAAGTATCTTTAAACATTGTCAAACATGGATCAGTAAATGAATAAATATAGGTAAATACTTAAGATAAGACTAATACTTAGAATAAGAGGAAATACTTGTGTTTGGTGTAGTTTAATATTAATAATCCGATTCCGGTTGCATCGCACGGATTGAAGGTTGTTTTACCATGCAAGAGTGCTATTGCATCACACCTGAGCGCATCTATGTTCGGATAGATGAGAAAAAAAAACGCAATATGGCGTTGGCGCGAAAAGTGTTCATGGAATGTTAGTAGTATACGCTCTGTTTCGTGTATTTATTTTATAATAAACGACATCTAAGTGAAATTCATAGTTTGTTATGACGTGGCGTGGTTTTGTGTGCAACTTGCTAGATGTCATAATAAGACTCAGTTTCTAATGGAAATACTGTTTTGTGTCATGACCATGTGAAGTACCCTACATCACGCCACCCTATTTCAATATAAGTTTTTGTGTGTGTTCCGGAGACCGAGAGGATCCCTAGCTGCGCCGTGAAGAAAGACAGCAGCCCAAGGAGGCAGGTGAACCAGCTTAGTAAAAAGATACGCCTAATTTAAGTTGTTGCGACCGGTATACCGGTCTAGGAAAGTCATCGTTAAGCGCCCTCTCTGCCGACCCTTGAAATTTTAGTTTTTCGCCCATACAGCTTGAATATGTACATTGATGGAACTGTTTGTACTTTCAGTTGGTGAAATAGTGGCGATGGATTAATTTTATTACTTAATCGTCATTATTATTATTTTTGTATTACTGAACTTATAAATCTTAATGAAACATTACAATTAAATGTATATGGAAGGCGAATAATTCGTTGTCCGTCCGTCCGTCTGTCAAGACCCTTTTTCTTAGGAACGCGTGGAGGTATTAAGTTCAAATTAATATCATATACTCAGATCTGCAATCTCTTAAAGCAATGAAAAATACAAACTTCTAAATCGATGTAATCAAAAGATACAGCCACTTATGCTCCATTTATGTCGCATATTATGACATTCTCAAAGAGAATCAAAACCTTTAGGATATTTCCCGTTGACCTAGAATTCTGAAATTTGGCAAGAAGCAATGTTATGTAGTATAAGTATATAAAAATCTAAATTACGGTATTTAGATTTTTCCTTTACTTGTATTACATAACATTGCTTCTTGCTAAATTTCAGATTTTTAGTTATAGTGAATTTGTAGATATTTCATAAAAAAAATTAAACTTGATTATTTTGTGCAGAACCCTTGTTGTCCGACTCGCATTTTACCGGCTTTTTTTATTTTAACTTTATATTATTTTTTGTGACCTTAATGTAGTTTCGGAATGTAGATATCTGCTTAGTAGAAAATTAGTACTTTTTTAAAATCAATGTGTTACATAATGTTTACATTATACAATAAAATATTTCACAATAAGCAATTACAAATATTAATATATTTAGAACATAATAACAATAAATGTATTATAATATAGAGTACTGTATTATAATGTAGAGTAGATACATAATAAATAATTAATAACACCTCAGTCCTCAGGTATGGCAACGCATGGGGGGTATCATGAAGGAAACAGTATGTTCTGTTATGACCATGATACTGCTCATGTCTATAGGCAACGGTTACCGCTTTCCACCAGGTAAGTCGTCAGTTTGTTTGCCATTCTAAGTTACATCAAAAAAGTCTATCTTGTCAAGACCATTAAGTCACAAAAAAAGCATTACCTTATGGTTTGACCGATTACATAACACTGTCAGAATAATAGTCTAATACAAGTCTTTTTGTTCTATATATATTATATATATGTAGAACAAATCTATACATTATATATTGACATAGGTCACACTTTTATCAATCAATCTGCAATCAATTTAGATATTTCTCTTCACAAAACTCCACAAGACTCTGTCTTCTATTATTCTTATTAAGAGCCCTCACATATTTTTTTTGTATATGCATTTTTTATCTTCTTTTTACTGTGTATGTCTGTTGTTATTTGTGTGCTGCAAGTAATGCAAATTAATTATCTATCTATTTATTATATACATTTTTCGTATATACATATCTTTCACGCACGGATATCGTCTAATTACAATTTTATTATAATAGTAAAATTATTTTTATTGCATTATGGTTTGACTAACAATATATAAGACTATTACGAATTAGTAGGTAGCTGCTGAGATACAACGCTGAGATTGACAGATGATCCGATAAAGAAAGTCGCACTATATGGGTTCCTATATACCTACTGTATTTGTACGGAACTCTAATTATTATCTGTTACGTAATCCATATCGCTGACTGTGGACTGATATCGTTATGTGGAGAAAATATATAAATATATGATATATCTATACCAAAAATAAATACTCTAGTTTCCATGCATAGGTATTTTCCAAAATTAGTATTTTTTTTTACTCTTGTGGTTATAAACGTTTTTAAAGGAAGGGAGGGAGGTGTGTTCACACCAAAATTGCCTGGTACTTGTAATACAGCTAGTAATCTAATAATAAAATCTGATGTCCTGTGTGGCTATCAATGCGCAGATAACTATTAATACTAGAAAGCTGAAATTTGGAACATGGCCTTATTCTATAACGTAACGTTTTTTTTTTTATACCATGAAGGTGGCATACATATACATATTTATAATTTAATTACCTTAATATAAGCATGTCTCATTGTATTTCACTGTGATGAATTGTGAAGAGAAAATAAATCTATTTATTATTATTATAATCATATCATGAATGAAACAGTATGTTCTGTTATGTCCATGGTACTGCTCATGTCTATAGGCGACCGTTACCACTTTCCATCAGGTGGGCCGTCAGCTTGTTTGCCATTCTAAGTCGTATAAAAAAAGGCATACAACCCGTCTGATGGTAAACGTTTACTGTAGCCTATGAACGCCTGCAACACTAGGGGTGTCACATGCGAGTTGCGACCCTGAAAAAACCTTAATATACCCTTTTTTAAACATCCCGTACTGTAGTTTCTAGAGAAAACCTCGACAGGGAGCTCCTCCACAGTCTGAGCGTTCGCGAGAGAAAAATTCTTTTGAAACTGCACTGTATGTGACCATTTTGGCTGTAGCTGACAAGAATGGATTTTGAAAATTTCATTTTTAAAGAGAAATTAATAGTCTTCTTTATTAATATCTATATATAAAATGATAATTGAAACAGTACGTGATTTAGCCAAAATATTTGTTAAATGTTTTTTTGTAAAATCACGATTGGAAATTATATGAACACAATGAAACGAATTAAAAAAAATATTGCGTGGTTCCAGAGACACAAACATTTCTAAAGTGGAATTTTTACCAATATAGTCAACCATATTAAACATGGACTAGCTTATTGGCAATCGCGCATTGATCGGGCGTTGCTGGCAGGTCGAAGAATACGATTTTAGAATAACTAACTCTTACCAAACGTCTAAGCGAATGGAGCCATGGACACCAGTATCATTATCATCATCATATTAGCTGTTAACTGACCACTGCTAAACATAGACCTCCCCCATAGGTTCCTATAAAGAACAGTCTCGAGTCACCTACTACGGACAACTACTTTAGGGTTAAAATTAAAATATAACTATATGCAGTTGTGGTATATATTTTAATATACGCTGTGGATACACCTTATGGTCGCTGTTTTCCGATTTAAATTGATAAAAACCCGTATCAAAGGGATCTTTGTGATATTTGACAATTAGCGTGTAGAACACCGACTATGGGTGTGTGGCTTTATACAAGGTACCTACTTGGTATTCATTACGATGTTATCAACTTATCACATTAAATCATCGAGTCCAATGTTCACTGTTCATAGACGCATGTATTTTGTACTGATAAGATTCAATGTATTGCATAATAAATTAACACTTATCTGTAACAATTTTGTATGTTCCTAAGTATTTTTTTTAAATACACATGTTTGAAATATAAAATTTTTAATAAAATTTAAATGATAGGGGAAACAAAAATTACAAATTATTCATTCTAAAGTTTAATGATGAGCCGAACACCGTTTACTATTCAAGAATATTCAGTAAAATACTTCTATTGTACCTAGCCCCATATACCAATTTTGTTAAAATCGGTTTCGTAGTTTAATTAAAAAAAAATAACTATAGTTTTGCAACAATTGATGTCAGTTTTTTTTTCATGGAAGACAGTTTTAAATTATAGGAGATGAACAGTAGGAACCTATATATATAATCTATCTGGATTGTTTATTTAGCTATAGAATTCTATTAATGTATATCTCACAATCTCTTTTTTTTCATACCAAATAATAAGATTAAAAAAAACATGATGATTTTGAAGTGCTTGTAAACAAGTCAATTTGGATAAAGATGATTTGAATATGGTAACTGATTTAAAATATATCCGGATCAGATTTTGTGTGTAACTTTTACTGGATGAGCAAGTTATGTCGATTGGCCAGTATAAATGATGCCTATGTTCATCTCTATTCTTCACCCTCTCATTATTTATTGCAACAAACAGTCATTTATAAAATAATTAACACAATATACATCACAGTTTTAGAACAATAAATCTTACAGTGCCAATAACAGTATTTTAAAACATAGAGATGTTATTCATGAAGTCCCATGGAAACACGCATGAAATTTAGTAACAAATCCAAAGTACTAATATATGTAAGTGTCAAAGATAAAAAAAAAGAAGAAGCGAAGATTTATTTAAACTTTATTGCAACATTTATAAAAATAATAAAACAGTTAATTTAAATACGAAGTGATACAAAAGGCACATTTCGTAATCATTGCTCAAGTAAAAAATACACTCACATTTATAATATCATTAAGTATATATATTCAGTTATTATTAAATACTATATTAAAAGATATACATTGTTACCCTTTAGTATTGCTATTGGTTGATCTGTACTGTATTTGCGGCCTTCTTATTTCACATAAACCACTGGTACGTCAAATATTATTTCACTGTACTGTGCCAAACAAATTGAGACACCTGTGCAAGTATGCCAAATTTTATCCACTAATACTTTAATCAAACATTTTGTATTGCGCGAACAAAATATTGAATTATACTATAATTTTCGATAGTGGATTATAGATTGATTACAGATTATACACACAAATTCCGGCATTGATAAAAGTATTAATTTTTTTAAATTTGGCCGCATACACACCCGATGTGATCATGGTACACCAGCTCACCGAATCCGAATGGAAGTTGATTTAGATAAGATTTTTGGGAAAAAAAAATGTTCAAGCCCTAGCAGTATTATATAATAAGATTTCAGTATTATAGGGCTAGAACATTTTTTTTATTTTATTAAGTTTCGATAAACCAGTTGTTTTAGTCCATGTATTTATCAAATACCTATTATTTGTTTAGTTGTTATGTTTCACTGTATTTTCTTTTACGTAAGCAGATATTTATGTATTGCTCATAAAAATAACTATTTTAAAATACTCATTATTTATATATTATTATTTAAAATATAATACAATTAACAACATCCAACAAATTATACAGTTACCCGTTTTCAAATAAATTATCGTTTAAATAATATAATAGATAATAACACAATATAATACTTTTTCAAAACACGTCTCGTCGCTACAATAATTGCCACTGTAACTACAATTTGCAACAAAGTTGCATCACATGCTCAGTAGTAACTATGGAATATAATAATTATGTAATTACATAATGTCATTCGATATATCGAATTTTAAACATCATTTACAGCGAAATCTAAATATTATTTTAACATAAATAGCTGTTGCCTATATACAAATGACCATAATTCATACTCGTATTTAAAAAAAAAAAAAAAATTGGGGCTACTGAATGCCTGGGCGAATGAATGGTTCCTTGGGTACGCATCACAATGAGTTTTGAGTTGCTATAGAGCGTCATAATGTTGACATTATAGCAATCAACAAGAAGAAGGTTGAGGGAGGAGGAGGAAAGGCGTGCCTCGTCAGTACCAGGCTACCGATTGTGCCTCATGCCTCGATCAAAGTGTGCGTAGTGGCGGCGTAGGCTTTTGCATCCTTTTTAATGGATGATAATGAAATGGTAGTCCCCGCCTGTGCTAACGGTATACACCGGCGGGGCACCACTGACAGATGATAAATGAGGATGAAAAGACAGGTCAGTTAGCCCGTCGTAATGAATACACTTAGAATTCAGCACGATGGTTTCCAGGAGAACCACGTGGAGGTCGACCTGGTTATATATATAGCTAGTATTTAGTCTCCATTACTAACAATCACTAACCCCTCAAGATTTTATATTAGGCACGGGTTATCGGTTCGAGTCCTACATTACCCCACCTGCACATTAGTTGAACAAATGTGGCTCTCATTTACAGTAAACAAGCCGAAGTCAGTTATAAAAATCGCATATAGACCTCCTTGATTAAGCGTCCAAACCTTTATAGATGCAATAGCGTAAGTCATTTTACATGGTGTAGCAATATCATTTTAATGGGAGGTATTAATATGAATCTTCTTGATGTCACAGATAGCATTGTCATGCTCCTTTAAAGCTGATGACCATTAGGCAGCAACAATATGCATGGATTACCTTCTGCAAAAAAAAGTAATGAAATGTTGAGTTGAGACATACAAAAAATCTCGAAGAAGTGACGATGTTTTATGTATATCTATATATGTTGTAATTTGTGTGCTGTAAGTAATACAAATAAATTATTTATCTATCTATTTAACTAAAATACATAAGTCGAAATACAAATAATTAAAACACATGGTTAATGTGACATTTAAGGAAAACAGGCCTAATTTAATAGATATTTACTAATATTAATGATTTGAAAAAGCTTTGGAAACATATTAAACAAAATGTTAAAGTAACGACAAAAAAAATTTAAAGTACGTATGCATATCTTTAATGATCCAAATAAAATCAACGATCACTTTCTAAGTGCTCTTTTTCATTTTGGGTTTCCGCTTCTCAACTTCTTTAAAAACAATCATTATTGCAACCACAACATTCAGTTTCGACTGAGGACAGTAAATGAAGACGATGCAGGTAAAATAATAAAAACCTTAGTAAAATGCTATTAGAGTTGATAGTATCAGCAGGGATATGTTTGTTCTAACTATGTCCAATACCCTATCTGCGATTACTGCCATTATGAACAGATCCATTGAGACAGACTCATACTCAGACAAATGGCAGTAAGCCGTAATCGTAGTTAGGCCAATTCCAAAAGTTACAAATCCCAACTAGCTAAAAAAGTTACGGCCAATTAGTATACTTCTTTTAATATACAAAATACTGTAAAGGATAGTGGCGCAGTAATTCAAAGTATTTTTAGAAGTAAATGAAATTCTTCGTAAAAGTAACTGCATTGGCAGAAATTGTTGATGACATTTTAATGTTACAAGGTCATGGTTAGGGTACTCTGCTGGTGTTACCAATCTGCTTCTGGGCATTTGATTGCATTAATGTATCATTGTTACTGGCAAAAATGCATTACTATGGTTTCAGTGCCTCAGATATTAACTGGTTCCAAAGCTATTTTGAAAATTGTTCCCAAAATGTTGAATTGAGCAGTGAAAGGGGACCAATAATGATATCAAATAAAATAACAGTTAATAGAGGTGTTCCGTAAGGATCTATACTGGGTCTTTTCATATTATATAAGGTTGATGTTGTGGAACAAATACAGTACTGTAAATATTATATTTATGCAGATGATATCCAGGTTTGTATATCTTGTAAATCCTCTGATATTATAAATTCGGCAAATAAATTTAATGGTGACCTAAAACGTATATTTAGTTCGTCAGTCCAATTCTTTAATATTAAATGGAAACAAATTTAAATTCATGCTATTAGGTACTTAAAAACTAATAAATAAACTAATAATGTCCTGTCATAGTTTTCATATAAAGATTGGAGGGTAAAAAGAGCAACGAATAAAAAAAAAAAACTAGAAACCTTCCTAGGTTGCTAGTGTTGTATGCTGTGATAGGTCCCATACTGCATAAACAGAATTAACAAATAAAAACAAAAAACATATATAATTAGTAAAAGATAAACCATCAGTTGCTATTTTTCTCAATTCATAGCAGGCTAGTGTATAGAAAATGTTATACGGCCGCATAACCCTACCAAATTCAGATATAAACTGCTTACATACTTTCTACATAATCTGTGTCGAATATATAAACTAGTAATGTAAATGTACAAGAATTTTACATACACATTTATGAATTGAAAAAAATAGCAACTGACGGTGTATCTTTCGTAAGAAGAAAGGACGCAATCATATTATTTACAGTTTTTATCTTAATTTTATGTATTTTTTATTATTAATGTTAATTTATCATTCCATCTAGGTAATTTCTTGTTCTAAGTTATTATTCCAGTTAGCGAACATGTTGCAAATAGTCTGCGCAGAATGGTCGTTATCTGTGACCTATAAAAATAAGATTTATATCTGTCTGATCTGGATTAAAGGAATTAGATTCTAGACAAATTATCATATTGAAGACTAGGCAGCATGGTCTCCGACCTTAGTCTGTTCCACAACGGAACAAACGTACTAAAAAAAAAAAGAATTAGTTTGTAGTAAGTTAGGGGCTTGTCAATAATTAATTATCTTTTAATAGAAACTATATCTATACAATACAATAGTTAATTTTAATCTTTGTGTTAAGCGTTGTTTACACATATTTTAAATACACAATTGAGAACGCGATGTAAAAGCCTTTACAGTTAAATAGTACCTACATACTAGCTTCTGTATACGCCACGTCATCCTGTCGTGACCACGACGTGGTGCAATCCATGTCGAACCGTCGGCAATAAAGAATACATGTGTTATTTATCTGTAAAGGGTTTTTCATCGCGTTAAGTCCCAATTGTATATCTAAAATATATGCTTACAGTTCTCTTTAAGGATCAAAGTAAGTGTTAAAGTTTATATAGACTTTTAGAGTTTCAATTTCAGGTAAAAACGATTAATTTCTACTTCCATATTATGATTAATACGTAAATTGGAAATAGAAATGGCTCTGTGGTTCTGGCATAGAATAGGCCACCCATTCCATTCCTGTGGGTGTCGTAAGAGACGACTAAAGGAACATAATGGTTGAGGGATGGGCAGCGTTCTTTTTAAAACATCTCTAAAAGCTTCATTGTGGTTACCAGCCCGCCTGCCAAGCGTGGCAACTACTGGTAAAACTCCACTTATGGGGAAGGCTCAGTTCAGTAGTAGACAGTAAATGTCTGAAATGATGATGATTGGTATGATACATATATAAAAGGATTAACATTGAAAAGTGATTTTATTCCTAATACAATCATTTTATTACTTTTTAACGTATTGTTGAATGCCACTTCTTTGTTATATTTCATACTTGTATTATCTTTGTAACATAGCCTTTGATCCGTACCATCATAGTGTTTGAATTGTGAACTTTGGAGATTTCTAAGTAAAATGTTCGTGGCAATGTTGCTAGATAAATTCCCTGTTTCTAGCTAGACATTATACTTGATAGTAGATCTCAAACTTAGTCGAGTTTGGAATTAAGTGAAATTGTATATATGTAGGTAATTGTTTCTGCTTGTGTTAATATAATATATGCTGGAGGTATAAGTTCTTATTTAACGTACAGCAGTTATCATAGGATTAAATTCATGTTTGAGACCGGGAAGCTCTTTAGGCTAAAAAGTTCGGGTTCCTTCGAGATAGATTCTCCGAATATCTGAGTATCTGTTTAATGGCTAGTACAATGGACATAGTTTTTGCATTTAACATACTGAATGTAGGCTACAGTAAAACGAGTAGAGCTTTACACATGGATTAATATGACCACTGTCTTCTGTTAAAGTTTTCTTTTATTGAAGTTGTTCAGAAGTTATTTATATATTGGTATATCGGTATATGTAATTCGTTCAACGTTAATGTTTAAAAATAAATAAACTTTTCGTTATGTTACTGTATCATATTTAAACAACTGTCTATTTTTATATTCCTTCCTTGTCCATATAAAATATCTTTATTTATGGAAAGCGACTGTATTCGCACTGAAATAGCACGTGCAGCTTTCAAATAAAAGCTTATCCATCGTAAATCCAATGTCTAGAACAGCGTTGCTGTTGTATACTCGTACATGTGCGTTAGCCATTAATATATCTACATGGCAACATTAAAAATAGTTTTTAACATCTGAAATGTGTAATGTGTAGGTATATAATTACATAAGAATAAGTCTATATCTTTTTGTATTGTTGATATGCCACAACAATGCATTAGCTACACAACCATAAAACT